TGTGACTGCATTATGAAGTTCAATCTGGTAATAGTTGCTATTAGCACTCTGTTGAACGTAACGTAATTATGTTACCTCATGTGAATAATTAGAAGGAACTATGTGCTTCTGTATGATTTATAAGGCCGAGAGCCATTTGCGAAATATGAATCTATGAGGCCGAGGGCCAGCTTGTGAAATTATGAATATTTGTGAAATTGTGAACTTATGAGGCCAAGGGCCGACTTGTGAATCTATGAACTTATGAGGCCAAGGGCCGACTTGTGAATCCATGAACTTATGAGGCAAAGGGCCGACTTGTGAATCTATGAACTTATGAGGCCGAGGGCCAACTTGTGAATTTTTGAACTTATGAGGCCGAGGGCCAACTTGTGAATTTGTGAACTTATGAGGTCGAGGACCAACTTGTGAAAATATGAATCTATGAGGCCAAGGGCCAACGTGTGAAACTATAAATTCAAAGGGCCAAGGGCCAAGTTGTGAAGTTATGAATCTCAATTATGAATCTATATAGCCAAAGGCTAATTGTGAATATGTGAACCCACCAGGCCAAGGGCCAGTCTGTGAATTTGTGAACCAACAAGACCGTTCTGACATTAGTACGGAATCAGATTAACTATTTGTCTTTTATATTATATAAACTCTGATTTGCATTATAATTCAAGTTGAACATTGAGTTATTCACGTACTATTATTCACTGAGGTTATCTCACTATGTATTTTGTCTGATTCCGTAGGTCCTGCGTTTGGAGGTCAGCCTCAACTTTTAATGGTCGTCTTCCTTTGTTAGCCTCTGTGTGTCCAAGCATTTGGGTGAAGCCTACCCGTTTGGTGAAGTTTTGGCTTAGATTCTGATTGTCTATAATATGTTGTAACTTCTAATGTTTTTTTTTATTATACGCCCAAACACGGGCCGGGTTGTATATGTGTATGTAGCTATTATTATCTATCTATTTGTGATCCTGGCATGATAGTGGTCGCTCAATGGATGTAGCTCTTCCTTGCATGTTATTATATAAAATTTATGCTTCCACTCAGGCCCCATATGTTATATATAACAGGTTAAGTGTCCGTTTTTGAAGTGGTCATGCCCAAACTTCTAGGGGCGGGTTTGGGGCGTGACACTACATATCCCTTTGCAAGGAATCAAACCAGTGTAGTTCTAGGGCAAGATGCAAATGATATGCACGATCCAGAATATAACATATGATCATGTAATGAGGGCTGTAATGAAACATCTCGATGCAAATGTTAGGCAAAGAAATGCTACAGCAAACTCATACACTAGCAAGTAAACATGAACCAAACCATATTTCATGTAGAAAGGATGTAAGAAAATTATGCAATCTCAACTACGCCTCATGCAAAAAAGGCAAGGAACAACAACCATCGGGCACACTCGAGGCAGCAAACAAGATCGCAACGCGTGGCACACGTTAGGAAAGAAGCAATGATAACAAGTGAAACACATCTAACTGTTATGCAAACAAAGCAAAGAGTAGTATAAGCATCGGAACCAGTCCAGATGCATCTAACCAAAGCGTTCTAACGTGCCACGTGCGAGAGGGAAAAGGTAGCACTGTAAACACCGAAGGGTGTTATAAACATCGGGGCACGCCCCAATGTTTCTAACCAAAACATAGTGGTATAAGCGTCGGACACACGTCCCAAATGCTTCTAACCAGAAGGGTGGTATGAACATCAAGCGCATGACCCAATGCTTCTAACCAGAGTACGAAATAAGCATTGGACACACATCTCAAATGCTTCTAACTAGAGGGTGGTATAAACATCGGGCACATGACCCAATGCTTCTAACCAATGGGATGGTATAAGCGTCGGACGCACATCCCAAATGCTTCTAACCAAGGAGTGGTATAAACATTGGGCACACAATCCGAATGCTTCTAATCAGAGGGGTGGTATAAACATCGGGCACAAGGCCCAATGCTTCTAACCAACAGGTGGTATAAGCGTCAGACATACATCCTAAACGCTTCTAACCAAGGAGTGGTATAAACATTGGGCACATGACCCAATGCTTCTAACCTACGGGGTGTCAGTGTAAACACCGAGCGTATGCGAGTGTTTCTAACCAACAAAAGAGGTGTTCAAAGGACAGGAATGATCTTACCTGGAGTTCTTCTGAATGAACTATACATACAATATCATCTGGTCACACCAGCTTTGAATGAATCGTGCATACAATATCGTGCCCACATAAGAAAGAAACTTAACAGGTACAATGCAATACAAATGCATATTCTATGCAAGATCAGTAGCATGCTCTATGCTAAATACCAAATGCACGTTCTATGCGAGTGTAAGAAGTGCATATTCTATGTAAGTGTGAAAAATGCACATTCTATGTAAGAGCGGCAAAGGCATCTTCTATGCAAACATCGAGATGCATATTCTATGGAAGGAGAGGAGCATATTTAATGCAATACAATGCAATATGCATATTCTATGCAAACCTGCGAGTGATGCATATTCAATGCAATCATAAAAACAATGCCTATTCAATGCGACAGTGGATTAAATAGAAACCTTTGATTTACCTCCCGAAAGAGTGGCAACAACCTAGAAAAGGATACAATTCATTCGTGTGGAGTATCACACACCAAAGGCACGGTTCGACGCTTCCGCGGAGACCATTTACACTTGAAAGTGCACTTTCCTTGCATTTTCTTGAGGGAGAAGGCACAAAGCAATGGAAAAACATCCAAGGAGAACACTGGAGGTCCACCAGCCACCCTAGGGAGCCACCGGCCACCCACCGGCCTCCGGAGAAGGTCAACAGCGACTCAAGTGGCTCGGCCACAAAAACTAGCCGGTTGGCCAGTTTAGGGAAATTCAGGGCAGTTTGGTCCTTTTACATGGAGAACTTTAAAAACACATCCCCAAAACACATTTCCTCACACCCACAGTGCCGAAATCTCTTGTTCTTCCTTCCTAAACACCTTTTCCTCTTAGATCCATTCTTTACATGCATTTTCCAATGCCCCACGTGAAGTTGATTCACTAAAACCTTTCGATTTCCTTCGTTTTGAACTGATCAAAAAAAAATTTCGGAGTTTTTTTCTCCATTTTCATTACTTGGGGTTTGTTTCCCTCAAGTTTGTCTTGAGTTTGACGCCTTTCCCGGGCTTTGACTTTTTCTCCCATTGTCTCTCTCTGAGAGTTGACTTTTGTTGACTTTTGGCATTTTTCGCCTACTGCGCTCATTTTCGCCTACTTTGTCACCTTTTTCTAGAGAGATGAAGCTATACATGACGGGGGTTCTCCAGGGATGGAGGGAGAGTTCGAGCACATACCGTTGCCGCCCAGAGTCCGACATTTCGACCCAGAGAGGTACCACCCTGAGGCACATATACTACCATCTAGTATAGACCGTCACTTTAGTGGATTTGCTCGACGGGCACCAGTAGATCTTTTGCTACGAGAGCCAGAGTCTTATCTGTCTTATGATGCCTCTGAGGTACACACTATACTCTTGTATTTTCTGCGATGTACTTTACATTTCTTGCATAGCTTGTACTTTTGAGCTGTATTTCATCTGCTCATTTTGAACACATTCATCATTGCATCTCTGCTCATTCTGAACACATTCACACATTGCATCTTGCTCATTCTGAACACATTCACACACTGTATTTCTGCTCACAGGTAGACTCTCACTTCACCCGAGGATATGGGTCCACCGGAGCTAGGGAGTGGTATATGGACCTCCTCGACAGCGTTCGGCGGATCATTGATGAGGCAGTGTTCGGTTTGTTTTGCATAGGGCTGTCGCGTCTCATGACAAGCAGGACCCTCTTGGGCGCATTGGTAGGGAGATGGTGGGACACCACCAACTCCTTCCATTTCTCTACCACTGGGCACATGACGATGACCCCATATGATTTCGCCATGCTGATGGGCCTTGAGATGGGAGGCCGACTGATCCCATATGACTCCGACATGGGTGAGTGGGAGGCCACTTGGACCTATTTACTAGGAGCACACCCACCTATCTTCCAAGGAGGTTTGGTCCGATATACTTGGTTCGCGGATCACTTCAGAGGGACAGACCTAGTGATTGCAGATGGGATTGAGCAATATGCCCGAGGTTTCTTGATGTTCCTCTTCGGCACTACTTTGTTCGCTGACAGGTTGAACACAGTCAGGTTGTATCTTTTGTCCCAGGTTCGGCACTATGATTGGGGCGGCGCCAACCTCGCCACTCTGTACTGCTACATGAGTTCGACCTCCCGCAGGAGCGGGAACAGAGTGGGAGGCTGTTGGAGAGCCTAGGAGGTATGCTTTACTTTTCAACTTTACATTTTCTGCCATGCTTTCTGCTTTTCACTTTCTGTACACTGCACACTGCACACTGCCTAATTTTTGTATCTATAGTTGCACTTTTATACACTGTTCCACGCACCTTGCTTCTTGTATTTTTTGTATTCTGTACTCTTTGCATTCTGCATTTTTTATATATCGCACACATACTCTATTTTCCACATTCTCAGTGTTTATCTGTATTCTCACTACCACTCCTTTGCTTTTACACAGCTGTGGGTGTACGCCTATTTCCTGGTGCTTGCTCCTGAGCTAGAGGTCGTGACGCCTCTCGGAGTGTTATATTCACATCGATACGACGAGAGGTGCCAGCCGAGGGCCAGAGAGACCCCCATATCTCCGCCAGTATTTCAACACCGTGAGGGTGGCTGAGGTAACTCAAAACTCACAGTTCTTTATACGTTTAACTTCAATTCATTTTAGATATCTAATGACAACTAATCAATATATGCGCCTGCTGTTTGCATATCATGTGGCAGCCTTAAGTGTTGATGCCAGAGGGGGCCAGATTTGAGTTTACTGGAGCCAGGGGCGCTCCCCGGTATCAGATCTTATTTGAGGGCCTAGTAGGCTGCGCCTGGTTTCTAGGCGATCACTTCATGCCCTAGACACTGGGCCTACCCTTACAGTCAGTTCCCCTGTCGCCTCCGCCTTCCATGCGAGCCGCAGAGAGTCTCTCCCCTCAGGAGATCACTGATTTCATGCGAGGTACAGATGTAGATCGGTACATTAGGGAGGGGGACTATACGATTTACATCCAGACATATCTAATGCCTCTTCTGATAGGTGCTCGTGTTCACACAGGGAGGGCAGCTAATGTTCCTTCGTCGAGCAGGGCCCGAGCAGCAGATGCCCCTTCGACGAGCAGGGCTCGGGCACCGAGGGATGGGGCTAGAGGGATGCCTCTTGCCAGACAAAGTGTTGGATGGCCAGATCTACCAACTGAGCTAACAGGTTGGCAGTATGGCAGAGTGCCTTATCAGATTCCGATCGAGCCCCTATTGCCTGGTCACGGGTATGTCAGGACACCTAACTCACCACTGATATACTTTACAGTTTTCATTTTACATTCTCACTCAGATACTCAGACATTCATTCATTCACTGATCATTTCAACTCGCATTTGCAGCCCTCCACAGAGTATGTTATGGGGTTACTCGAGATGTTGGCCTCATTCTAGGGCATGATCTTGAGGAGAGAGTTGATGCTTAGCTCCCACGACATTCAGGTAATTATTCAATTTTCCTGCATTTCGGTTATCATATTTCTTCTAGTATACTGAAACTGACATTTTCCATATTGCACTGATACACTACATGTATAGATGGCATCTGACATACTGCATTCTCATACTGTATCTGACTTCTGCATGTACACACTCTTCACACCATACTTGCATCTGATGCAGATACTCTGGCTGATATATTCAAACTGCCTTTTCAGGTCAAACCTCTGCAGACTGGACCAGCGGCGACAGAGGCATGGCCATCAGCACCCCTCCAGTAGTAGGGAGAGATAGAGAGGCTCCGGCACACGGCCGAGGGAGACATCATGAGCCTGTCATGCATGAGGATGATGATGAGACTAGTGAGGACGAGAAGGCAGCGAGTCCCCAGTCAGAGTCATCTGGAGGTGGAGACGACGGCACCGGCTCGGGTTCTGAGGGTGGCGACGATGCTGAGGAGGGCTCCAAGGATGGGAACGGAGGCAGCTCTGGTTCAGGCTCTGGTTTGGAGTCAGATAATGGCGTCGACGGAGACAGTGCTACAGAGTCCACTCTGCCGAGGAAGAGGACGAAGAGGGCCTCTCAATCTTGAGATGGATGGCACTAATTTGGATGTTTTTGCTTAGTTTTCTTTTCGCTAGTAGTATTAGCACATTGTGCAGCCTTAGACAGTTTTATTTTCTTTAAAACTTGTACTCTTTGTAAAAAGAAACCATGATTGGAATGTAAACAACTTTTTGTTTAAAAGTGTTGGATGTTGTATTCTGAGCATCGCATGACATCGCACAACATGAAAATGAGATTTGATCTTTGTTTGAAAATTGCACATTCTAATTGCATTGTCTTAATCAGGTAGTGAACCAACTAACAACTGAAAGAACAAAATAACTCGATAAACAACACAAGAACTTAAATAAGCAACTTACAACAACTCGATAAGCAAATTACAATAACTCGATAAGCAAATTACAACAACTTGATAAATAAATCAACAGAAGAAAGACACCAAGAGTGGAACCAAACACAGGTCCTTCGCATTTTCAACACATGGAATAGCCAGAGGGATAAGGGGAGGCTGCCGGCCACTTGAAATGGCTATCGGCCACTAGTACTAGTCGATCGGCTACAAACATTGGCCGGTCGGCCATCAACAATGGCCGGCCAGCCACCAATGCAAAAGATCTCCAGATTGCTGACATCTGTCTTCCACTCAACACCTTATCTTCTACAAAAGCCCCAGCTTCGTGTTTTCTCCATTTCAGCTCTATTTTTGCTTCAAATTGAACCATTCTTTGCCGAAAAATTCTCTGATTGGATTGCAGCTGTAGATGGCTTGGAAAAGCTGAATTTCCAGAGTTTCGGGATAAATGCACTATTCACGCTGAGCCGTACCCCGTTGTGTTTTTCATTCCTCCACGTCGTGGCTAGGTGTTGGAATCCAATTACTCATGTTTTCAGCTTCGGGGGATAAGAGATGTGCCCCACTTTTGAAGAGTTCCAAGCTTTGATGGAATCCCGACGCGATGAAGAAATCCTGCCCCAGTTTCGTTTTGGTCTCTTTGGTTCGCAAGGGAGAGTTGGATATTACCAACCTCATTTACCGATTTTCTGATGCCAGCAATCACGGCGATCATCTCTGGCAGAGTTTTCGGCAGCATGCTCTTTGTTTGTGCATGTTGGCTCATTTTCTACTTGCCCCTGGTTTCGGAGGGTCTAGTATTCGCTTGATCGGAGTAGCCCAAGGCTTGAAAGAGGGCAAAAGCTGTGTTGGCATGACATTAGCCGAGACTTTGATGGGCTTGGATGCTTTCCATCACCGGGAGACGACCAAGTTTGCCGGAAGTCCGCTACTCTTACAGGTAATGTTTCCTACCCTATCTCACATGTGTTTCTCACATCACTCGGCACTCAGGCTCTGCTTTTCTCTCAAAACCCTTTCTCACTTTTTCTCTCCACATACACCTCTCTATTCTTTAATCTCTCTTATTTTTCATCCCTCCCCAGATATGGCTCATGGACAGGTTGAAGGTATTGGACTCTTGCCCTGCATATTCAGCGCGCAGCTATTTTTTCCATCAACGGCTAGTTGATTTCCGAATGAGGGATGGTGGTGCCACTGGATGTGCAATAGGTCTGCTGTTGACATTGCCCCTGGTTTGATCTGCCTGAGATGAGCTACAACATGACTCAGCAGCTTGGCATTCAGTTGATTGGCTTGACACACTGTGTCTGTTATTTTCCATTATGGTTCTGGCGTCAGTTCGGACATGACCAGACTTGCCCAGAAGAGGGAGTAAAATACCCAGCTTTATTTCCAGTATGAGGCTCACAACTAGCTTGATATCCCACTATATGGAGGAAAAGAGAATTTCTGGCTCCCACTCCCAATTTCAGTCACACCTTATCTTGCGAATGTATAGCTTGGCTTGAAGATGAGGCGCAAACTGGGCCTACTTTAGCATCTAAAGCTTCCACAAGCTCTGGGAGGGGACGCAAGAACACCTGACTTAACTATGCCCCAAGTTTATTGTTTTGATATGTACTTTCAAGTTTTCTTTTTGAGTATAATAAAAAAACAACTTCAATTTGCATCAAGAGTCGGAGAACTCTGTATTTAAATAAAAGAAATTGAAGGTTGTGGGTACTGAAAATTTTTCGTTTGGTCCAAAAATGGTCTAAGTTGTAAAAAGATTAATTTGAACAAAATCAACTTTTATTAAAACTTTTGAAAACCATGTTCAACATGGATCACAACTGGACATACCCGAGATTTATCACTGAGATACACAACCCCAAATCCAGCAATGGAAAGTTGCCCCTTGTCTTAATAGCACTGCACTGTACTGGAGATCACAACCAAACTCTTGGACGCGAAAAAGACAAAGATGAGAAGAACAATCTCATGGACACAATTGATTTGGAAGTGTTTATGGCTGGACTTTAGAATGAAGTTGCCTACATATCCCAAAGATGGTAATCAAGCCTTACGTAGTTTGGTTCAGGTTCACTCGGGTATTAACACTTTCCTTTTGCGCTCTAACTTTTGCCAAGGCAGCATTTTTCGGGTTTTCAACCTTGCGAGCTTAGTTTTTCTTATTTCAAATTTTGTGTGCTCTAACTTTTGCCTAGGTCGCCCTTTCGGGTTTCCGGCCTAGCGAGCCACTCAGGGGTAGTATTTCTTCAACTTGTCCATGTTGATTGGTTTGGAGAATTCTAGGCCATCTAGGTCCATAAGAACGACAGCTCCACCCGACCAGATACACTTGCTTATATAAGGACCGGTCCAATTAGGTCTGAACTTTCCCCTAGGGTCATGAATGGGAACTCGGTTGCCTTTGAGCACCAAATCCCCTTCCTTAAGATTCCTGGACTTAACTTTCTTGTTGAAAGCCCTGGCAATCCTTTGTTGACAACCCTAGACGTGGTACAGTGCTTTCAGCCTTCTCTCGTCAAATAACATAAGTTCCTCGAACTTGCTTTGCAGCCAATCTGCTTCCGCTATCTGGCACTCAGCCATAACCCGCAACAACGGTACCTCAATTTCAATCGGCAGAACAGCTTCCATCCCATAAACCGAGAAATACGGAGTTGCCCCAGTAGATGTCCAAATTGATGTTCTGTAGCCCCGAAGAGCAAATGGCAACTTATCTGGCCAATCTCTGTAAGCTTTCACCATCTTCTGCAGGATGTGCTTAATGTTCTTGTTGGCGGCCTCAATAGCTCTGTTGGTTTGTGGCTGGTATGCGGATGACTTATGAAAAGCCATCTTGTACTTCTCCAACAAGTCGATCACTTCCTTCTTGAAATGGGAACCATTGTCCGAGATGATCTCATTCAGAACTCTGTAGTGATAGATGATATTATTCCTGATGAACTTGGCTACATGTGACGCTTTCAGCACCGCATAGGATTGGGCCTCGATCCACTTTGTAAAGTAATCTATCGCCACAAGGATATACTCATGCCCGTTTGACCCCTTTGGAGTAACTTCCCTAATAACATCAATTTCCTAGACTGAAAATGGCCATAGAGAAGTCATGTTGTACAGCATCGATAGCGGGATGTTCATGCGGTTTGCATGGATTTGACACTTGTGGCATCGCCGAACAAAACTGATACAATCCTCCTCCATGGTTGACCAGTTGTAGGCCTGCTTGAGAATCTTCTGAGCCAGCATTACTCCGCTCATGTGCTATCCGCACTCTCCTCCATGGATGGCTTCCATTAGGCGCTTCGATTCTTCTACATCAACACACAACTTGTGCATTCCCAGATGGCCACGTTTGTACAATTTTCCTCCGCAGATAATAAACTGAGCACCCATTCTCCGTATTGCCCTTTCGTCTTTGGCAATTGCCCCTAGTGGATAAGCCTCATTTTCTAAGAAGTTTCAAACATCATAATACCAGGGGTTCTGATCTTGTACTTCATCTATTGTGGTAATCGACTCGTAGGCCGGCACATATCTCTGTTCAATAATGATCGGACGCATCTAGACTCTAAAAGGGATGTCTATCATGGAAGATAGAGTTAATAAAGCATCAGCGAACCTATTGTTCTCTCTTAATAGATGGGTGAAGGTCAGCTTCTCAAACCGAGGAATCAAAATGTCCAAGGTCTGGTGATAGGTTTTCATCTTTTCTTCTTTAACTTTCCAATCTCCTTTTGCTTGAGATACAACCAGGTTCGAGTCCCTAATGACGTCCAACCGTTTTGTCCCTAGTTTTAGGGTGGCTTCCAACCCAGCGATACATGCTTCGTATTCTGGTTCGTTGTTTGATACTTTGAATTGGAGTTTGAAGGCTAAGGGTATGTGGGAATTGTCGGGTGCTATCAACAACACTCCTACCCCATACCCGTACTGATTACACGCTTCGTCAAAGTACATAGCCCAAATCTCTTCTTCAACATGCAAAATAGCCTCATCTGGGAACAGATACTCTACTGCTTCGTCTCCCTCCACTGGGTGATCGGCTAGGAACTCCGCTACCGCTCTCCCTTTCGCTAACTTGCGCGTCATATACTTTAAGTTGAATTCGGAGAGAAGAAGAAACCAACGGGCTAGCCTACCTGTAAGCACTGGTTCTCGAAGAGATATTTGATGGGATCTAATCTTAAAACCAGTATTACAGAGTGAGCTAACAGGTAGTGCCTCAACTTCCTAGTAGCCCATACCAAAGCTAAACAAGCCTTCTCTAGCAGAGTGTAGCGGGTCTCATATTCCAGCATCTTCTTGCTCAGGTAATAGATGGCTTCCTCCACCCTATCCTTAGATTCCTGCGTAAGCATGCAACCTATTGTCGCATCGGTTACTGACAGACACAAAATCAACGGTTTCCCCGGCTTCTCCCTTTCGCTAACTTGCGCGTCATATACTTTAAGTTGAATTCGGAGAGAAGAAGAAACCAACGGGCTAGCCTACCTGTAAGCACTGGTTCTCGAAGAGATATTTGATGGGATCTAATCTTAAAACCAGTATTACAGAGTGAGCTAACAGGTAGTGCCTCAACTTCCTAGTAGCCCATACCAAAGCTAAACAAGCCTTCTCTAGCAGAGTGTAGCGGGTCTCATATTCCAGCATCTTCTTGCTCA